GATGTATGCAGAAAAAAGTGAAATGACCATGTCCTTTAAATAAGATGCATTAAAAAAAAAATAATAACCAATTAAAATATTAATATTAAATCAAAATGTAAGGTTTGAACCAAACAATAAATATGATTTGAAAAAAAAAAATGGCTTTAACAAAATTTTAATAAGTTGGTCCAAAGCATGTATGCATATATTTATTTTTATTTTAGACTGACTTTTTGGCATCATAAGTACACTCTCATCATCAAGGCTTTTCCAAAAGGCACTTAAAAAAAGTCCTCAGAATTAAAATGGACTATTTTACCCTATATTTGTATGTGCATCACGTTACAAAATATATATGTGAACAGCAGACACCTGTTAGGATTGTCTGCTTCCTGTCTCTCTATAAGAGCTTTTGGTCACTAAACAGTGGTGGGTAACAACACAGTCATTAAAATACACACTTTTAGGCCAAGCAGACTGGAAAATGTCAACACCAACATAAAATGGCTCTGAGTGGTCCCTTGCTGCTATGCAAATCTATGTAAATGAGCAGAAGGTGGTATTTCTTACTGTAACAATCACATTCAGCAGGGAATTTCTACCTACTGATTGGGACTGGCTTGCAGGGATAGTGGTCAAATATAGAATTAAATGTACTTGCACAACCACAAAATGCAGCAATTGACCAATCAGTGTCAAATATTCATAATAAGAATACAAAATTATTCCAAACTTTAAAGGTTTTTCCGAAGGATTTCAGCCTAGTAGCTTTTATTTATTTAGTTGTTGGTTTCAGAATGGTTACACCACTTCAGATGTTTTACTTTAAGGTGTAAATAATATTGTAATTAATTAAATAATTAAAATTACAATAAGTAAATACAAAAAATTATTAGTTTTACTTTCAATATTTTGATTTAAATTCATGTTGAAATTTAAAATTACAATAAGTAAATACAAAAAATTATTAGTTTTACTTTCAATATTTTGATTTAAATTCATGTTGAAATTATATATATATATATATATATATATATATAATTATTATTATTATTATTATTTTTTTGCATCTTACTGACTGATACGGTGACTAGATTTATTTGTAATCCTCCTGCCTCTTGCTGTGGCAGTCAGCAGAACACATCAGTGTCAAAATAATGGCAACACACTGTGACGGCCCTATCAGAGGTGAGATTGACCACATGGTAACTTTGCTTCAGGGCAATAACTCTACTGATGGAGGAGAGAGAGAGGAAGAGGAATTGCTCTGGTTTAAAACAGATTCATCAGGATGGTGACATGAATCTGGTTCTGCTCCAGACTCAAATCCCAGACTCTCAGAGAGCTCAGCAGATCATGTAGAGAGATGGAGGCCAGCTGGACTGGGTCTCGCTTTCAGGATCCCAGACCTCTCAGCATGACGCCTGTTCACGTTCCAACAAGTGCCACTTTTGATTTGATTCATGAAGCAAAGGCTGAAATAATTGCTTTATTAAAGGAATAGTCTATACCAAAATGAAAACACGGCCATGGTCTGGTCACACTCATGTCTTTAGTAATTCACTTAAAATCTTCCCCTCTCTAAGATGTCAGTGAAGCTTTTGCACATTCTAACCTGCTGCAACACAATAAACACAAGAGCCAGTGAAGTTTGTCTGCAGTCTTGCCTCATTTAATGGTGTTGAGTGCTGGTATCATAATTTAAAACATCAATTATAGCTCATGAGTTTAAATATATTAATGTAGAATACTTTTATGGTATTTATTTGTCTTTGTGAAGTTGACAGCCACTGATGTGATATTGTATGTTTTTGGTGTGTTGAAAAGAGCAGCCTGGACATTTTGCAAAATATCTCCATTTATGTTCTACAGAAGAAACATTTGAGATAATTATCCATGTAAAACACAGTATAAAGTAAGCTAGAAACCAGTCCGTTTTATGTCACATGCAGAGGACACATGCAGTTTTTTGTCAGCTTGTTCTCTCGACTCCAGCGACAGGAAGCGGATTACAGTTGATGACGGGTTTATTGCTCACGGTCACTCAAGAGTTATCGAGGAATCTCGTATACAGCAGGGAAAAGGCTTCCCACCAGATGTTCTTATCAGATGAATGTTAATGTGCTCTGCAGGATCAGACTCCTTCTTCATGTCGCCCACCACCTGTATCACTGAGACTGCAGGGCCAAACAGACACACTGATAATGTTGCGTTTGCCGTTTAACAGATTAAAGTCTGCTAGCAGTGAAATGAACACCCACCGGTGTCTTAGCTTCAATAATACACGACAATACAGATATTACATCCACTTTTTCAGGTGACTGTGATCGGGTAATTATCCTGGATGGTGACTGAAGTGACTGTGATGAATCCCTGACAATAATACAGACTTCATTTAAAACCATAACTATCTAATATGTAAGATTTAAGCTTTTTAAGAAGCACATAAGGAAATCAAAAATCTGAATTAAGACACTTAAAAAAGAGCGTGAGGATCTGCTAGCGACTGTGAAGTAAACGGTTGTAGCCATAATCACAGTCAAGTTAAGCGTTGGGTTCAAGTCATCAGCTCACAGCACAGAGATGTGCTTTTAAAGTCAGAAAACTCTCAGCAAGTCCTCTCTCAGAAAGTGTCATGACTTTAACGAGATTACTTTGAAGCGTAATCTCAAAGTTATTATAGTTTGTAATGGAACAGCAGGACATTTAGCAGCTATCAGCGTCGTATGAAGTGTTTTGTCATTCACATTACTCTCCAAAATACCAGCTGATGGGCGCTTATTCATTTTCTCTGCAACACCTAGACCTCTGTATCCTCTCAGTGGCCGTGTCTGTCAGACATTGATTAATTTAGCTACATTAACAGTGCGTGACAGCCCATCATCTAATGAATACTGATATGCGCTGTGTTCATTAGCTATTCATGAAATCCAATTTGCTGCAATAATCTGGCAGTGTTTAGAGCCCACAAAGCCCTTTGTCAAGCTCACGACCCATCGCCGGACCGGCCTTCATTTCCTTTAATTATATCCACCAGGGCAAAGCTACAGTAGCTTCCTGAAAGCCGTCCTATAGAAAATGATTCATAATGTAGGAACATCAAGTGCCATCATCAGCCTCTGCAGAGCCTCTTCTCTATGCACACAGTAAACAAACCATGATTCATTGACAGCTGTGAGCAGTCGTCCGGTTTCATTTGGTGTTTTTTTTAATAGCCAAGTCATCTCATGCAAGCTTAGTTAGTCTAAGATTTTAATTCTCATAATGGTCAGAATCATCAGCTATAAGCAAGAGTGTCCCAGTTATACTGGAGAAGGGAAGTGCACATACCTAACTGATCTAGTCAGGTTGATGTTTGCAGAATACAAGAGAGCCTGACACAGCACTTTTGTTTCTGCCACCACACTCCCCTTCCAATCCCACGGGTCTCCACAACACACTGACTCTGTGCTGCTGGAACAACAACACTGTCAATCTCCACCGGTTTACAACCAATTTTTAAAGAAACTACCGATTGACCCCAGTAAACATGAAACGCTGCACCTCTTTAAAATGCAGTGAAATGAAATGATGGAAAATACCAGCGAAGCCAACGACATTCGCTTTGATCCAAAAACTAGCAAGCTGCCTCACTGTCTACAAACATCTGCGTTAAGACTGAAATGAAATCTCAAAATACTGACTTTACATGCATGCTAACAAGGATGCTAAAGACTACAGCCTCTACCATCAGTCATACCAGGGCTGGGTAATTTATGGACAACAATTTTTTTCTTAATCTTTTGAATGTTTCCAAATGCATTTACAATGTTTTGCAGTCACCTACTGTACCATTCTTTTTTTAAAAATAGATACTGCATTGAAAAGTAGATGAAACTCCATAAAACATTCAAATGTTCCTCATACATACAGAGAGCTTTTGAAAACAATTCATACAGAAAATTGCCAGTTGTCCACCACGCTGAGCCATTTATAGTAGCATTTTCAAAGAATAAGGAGGAACTGTGTAGGCAGTATATTTCCTTCAGTGACAAAACTCATTAATGAGCCGTGAGATTCAATTTTATGTTTTACTTCTTTAAAATAGGAGGAGCAACTTCCTCTGAAGAAATTAGACTTATAAATTTAATTCTGCTCTTTAACAAGCGTTGCTCTTGTATAGAGAGATTAGATAACTGGAAACTGCCTTGTGATGTTTCTGCGTATGCAGTTTAAGAGAACAGTGAAGTTTAATCACCTTTCACTAAGAGTTTTTAATTAAAAGTGCTGAATGGGTTTTTATTTCACCCTAGGCTCATTGGAAAAAAAAAGTACCTCAACCTACAATTTTGCAAAACTTCAAATAATGTACCTATACATTCAATTCACTGCAGTTTCCAGCTGAAATGAGCACTAGTTGTTTTTATTCCTTTTCACACAAATTATGATTAGGGGTGGGTTATCAAATAACGAAGACTTGCGCAATACTATGATATGACCTTAAAACACATTATTTGTAAACGTATTAATGCGCTTTCACGTTTGTATCACATTACCAGCTCCATATGTGTCACTTTTCTTGCGTAGTAAACTTGCTCGGTAGCTTACCTGGTACAGCACTGCAATTGTGATGTGGCTTGTTCGGTTACAGGTCCTGTGAAGCACGAGTACCGACACTCGATAAAAGACTTGTAGAAGCAAGCTAAAATCACATTGTCGCTTCAACAAATCTAACGTTTGCTTTTGTTAACACTATCAGTTAGGTTTTACTTCAAGCACAATTGCTTATAGCACCACTCACCGGACATTTCATTTCTTGACATTTCCCTTCAGATTTGCATGAAAAAAAAAAACATAACCAGCATAACTCAATCCACTTACACTTTCAGACACTATCTATTTGCTCGACACCTATTACTCTGGCAATCTGTATGTGTATGATGTATTTTGATGTATATATTTTGTTTCACAGGCCATGCAGCGGGAGGGAAAGGACATCAACATCACTCAGGTCATGGACCGCTGGACCCTGCAGATGGGTTACCCTGTCGTCACCATCAGCAAGAACGACAGTCTTGATAGCAGTGTCACCATCTCACAAGAGCACTTCGTCTATGACACGGACGCTAAGATCCAGAATCCTGAGCTGTTCAATAACAGGTAGACTGCCATATGTCAATTGTGACAGGTTGTTACATGAAAATGAACGTCTCAGGTTACTTATGTAACCATGGTTCCCTGAGTAGGGAACGAGACACTGCGTCCTCTAGGGGTCGCTATGGGGAACGCCTCGTCGTGACCCGTGTCTGAAGCATACATTGAAAAAACACCAACAACACGTTGGCCGGCGACAGCCCATGACGTCACTACCGGTGCGACTATAGTATAAATAGGCGCCGGGAGAACATGTCATTCACTTCTTCGTCTGAAGCTTGCGTTCGAAGCATGGCAGGAAGCCTAAAGGACACAGTGTCTCGTTCCCTACTCAGGGAACCATGGTTACATAAGTAACCTGAGACATTCCCTTTCAAGGGAAATCCAGCAAAGGGGTGCTCACAGAGGACCTACCTTAGAAAGGACAGAAACACACCGGTCCCAGAAGACTCTGCAAAGAAATCTCACAGAAGGATTATACACACATAACCACCAGCACATTAAATACATATATATACATATATATATATATGCATCATACTCACCCACCATGGTTCCCGCGCCGGAGCCCCGTTCAAGAGGCGACTCAAAGAAGCCTCTAGTCCAGACCATCAGCAAGGTGGTCACTATGAAGCCATAGAACCAACCAAACATATAGGTCCAGCATAGGAGTCGGAAATACAGGAAAATTCCTACCTAACCAGCAAGGTGGTTATAGGGGAATTAGGAGTTAAGGGCAGATGTAAGACCCCCGAAGGAAACGAGTAGATACTCAAGTATCACTCTGATCCGGACGAAAGCGCTGA